TAACATGAACTGTTTCACCCACTGAGTCTGTAGTGTATCTGTCTGTGGATGTGTGTGTCTCCTCTGTATGTGTGTGTCTCCTGTGTGCATGAGTATTTGTGTGTCTGTGTCTGTATCTGCTGCAGAAGTTTCCTCAATGATCCATGGAAACAGAATTGCATTTTGTGTGGTTTAATGAGAGTAAAAAGTACATTATGAGAACAAGCATTTGCAAATGGAAACATGCTTCTGCGGTCCACTCCTGGGACGCTGCATCCTGACACACAACGGGATACACACAAGCTTTATCACACTGGTCAGGACATTGGCCTATTGCCAGAGGAAAAACACATGTCACACCTCTACTTTGATTACAAGAAAAAACTCAAGGTAGGAATTGGAAAAGAGAAAGAAAGGGTGTTAAGGGAGGTTGAAAAAACATGTAAAGGAACAGGATAAGGTGTGTGTATGTGTCTGTATGTATGTGTGTCTCTCTCGCTCTCTGCGTGTGTGTGTGTGTGTGTGTGTGTGTGTGTTTGTGTGCGTGTGTGTGTGTGTGTGTTGGCTGCCCCCCCTTCCCAGCCTGGGAGCCTCCTCAGTCCAGGGTCTAGCCTCAGTCCTGGATCTACAGCCTCAGTCCTGGGTCTACAGCCTCAGTCCTGGGTCTACAGCCTCAGTCCAGGGTCTAGCCTCAGTCCTGGGTCTACAGCCTCAGTCCTGGGTCTACAGCCTCAGTCCTGGGTCTACAGCCTCAGTCCTGGATCTACAGCCTCAGTCCTGGGTCTACAGCCTCAGTCCAGGGTCTAGCCTCAGTCCTGGGTCTACAGCCTCAGTCCTGGGTCTACAGCCTCAGTCCTGGGTCTACAGCCTCAGTCCTGGATCTACAGCCTCAGTCCTGGGTCTACAGCCTCAGTCCTGGATCTACAGCCTCAGTCCTGGATCTACAGCCTGAGTCCTGGATCTACAGCCTCAGTCCTGGGTCTACAGCCTCAGTCCTGGATCTACAGCCTCAGTCCTGGATCCACAGCCTCAGTCCCTGGTCTACAGCCTCAGTCCTGGATCCACAGCTTCAGTCCTGGATCCACAGCCTCAGTCCCTGGTCTACAGCCTCAGTCCTGGATCTACAGCCTCAGTCCTGGATCCACAGCCTCAGTCCCTGGTCTACAGCCTCAGTCCTCCCGCTCCCTATGGACCAATGGTTTTTATTGTATGTAAAGTCCTCGGAAACCGCTGTTAGTGTGATGTGAAAACTGAAGAGACTTAAATCCCTCAAACATGTATCAGTCTAAAAATAGCTGAGTTTGTAAATGTCAAGTGGAAAGGACCATAACGAGGTCGAAGGCTCTGAGAGGTGCACGTTGCATGTTCTCTTCATTAAAAGTTGCTAATGACTCCAGAACGCTGCTCTGTAATGATCTGGTCTCTGGCACTTATTTTTTCCAGTTCCTTAGTCTTTCCTCAGTCGATGAAAGTTTGAGTTTTCTAATTTCCTCGCTGCTTTTGAGTCGTTAAAAGTTAATTAAACAGAATTAAACAATCACAGCACTGGGACTTTAAACAGTTCTTCTCGCTCTACATTCAGAGGTTCACAAACCACTGCTTTGGATCAACAGCCTGAGCCCGCGAGAACAGAGAGAGTGCTCCACAGAACATTACATAAGGTTTTTTTCTGTGGAAATGGGAAAAACGAATAGTGGAGAAAGTGTGAAATGAAGTGTGTAAGAAATCCCAGACTGAGGAAGGCCAGGGTCTGAAACGCAATCTTGAGAATGTGGTAGAAATGCTGTTATTTCTTAGGCAGAACATAAAGGGCTAAACAAGTGCCCACGGTCACATTTATTCTGCTTTGTCCCTTCTCAAGGCACTCGAAGCACGACACATCAAAATAAGCTTAATGGTATAGCGCAGTTCATACACAAGACAACTCAAAGTGCTGAACAAAACAAGAGATTAAAAACTAAATTAATAATCACACTACATTAAAAAGAGTGAAGATAAAACAGAACTGTTTTTAACTGGGATTGGAAATCTGTCAAAGCCTGTGTCAAAATTTCCGGAAGACTGTTCCAGATTTTTGCTGCATACGTCTGAAACGCTGCCACCCTGTGTGTAGTTCTGACTCTGGGACCAGCATGAGACCAGGACTAGTGTGAGAGGACTTCAGGACTGAGACCTGAGACCAGGACTAGTGTGAGAGGACTTCAGGACTGAGACCTGAGACCAGGACTAGTGTGAGAGGACTTCAGGACTGAGACCTGAGACCAGGACTAATGTGAGAGGACTTCAGGACAGAGACCTGAGACCTGGACTAATGTGAGAGGACTTCAGGACAGAGACCTGAGGCCAGGACTAATGTGAGAGGACTTCAGGACAGAGACCTGAGACCAGGACTAATGTGAGAGGACTTCAGGACAGAGACCTGAGACCAGGACTAATGTGAGAGGACTTCAGGACAGAGACCTAAGACCAGGACTAATGTGAGAGGACTTCAGGACAGAGACCTGAGACCAGGACTAATGAGAGAGGACGTCAGGACAGAGACCTGAGACCAGGACTAATGTGAGAGGACTTCAGGACAGAGACCTGAGACCAGGACTAATGTGAGAGGACTTCAGGACGAGACCTGAGACCAGGACTAATGTGAGAGGACTTCAGGACAGAGACAGTTGGAATGTAAGTAAGTAAGTAAGTAAGTAAGTTTTTATTTATATACCGTCTTTTCACTGCACATCGGAGTCTCAAAGCGGTTTACAATTGTTATTTTTTTGGGATTGGGGGGGCCAGTACAGGAGGCACATGCCATACCTATTGTACATATTTTTAGTGGTAGGGGAAACCGGAGCACCCGGAGGAAACCTACGCAGACACGGGGAGAACATGCAAACTCCACTCAGAAAGGCCCTGGTCCAACCAGGATTTGAACCCAGGACCTTCTTGCTGAGAGGCAAGAGTGCTATCCACTCAGCCACCGTGCCGCATCTTGTGAGGCCATCTTCACTTGTTTATCTCTGAGGTCATTTTCCAGACTATAGAGAAGTGTTGACTTTCTCTATTTTTTTTCTTACTTTCAAACACTGCAAATTCCTCTCTATATTGTTGATTTACCTTGTTTTTTAAAATTGCTTTCCGAGCCATAAACCGCTCTCAAATCCTTCCTTTATGTTCTGTAGGGTCCAGCGGCTCCAGTCCCTTTGCATAACTGTGTGTGTTTCCAAAAGGCTGAGCAGAGCTGTGCTGGAGAAATTCTTCTATAACAAGAACCAGCGCCAGGAGAGAGAGAGCAGGGCGCTAACCGGACTGTCTGTCAAACAGAACAGGATGTGAAGCCGTCCATAGTTTTACCATAAAGTGGAGCCAGAGGATTTGCAGAAGCTTCTCGCAATGAACAGGTTTCAAACAGACAGAAGCAGAGAGTTACTGTCTGTGGTCTGGAACAAAGTCCATAAACATAACCAGCTCCCAGCTGCTCCGAAGTGATAGTCTCTGACCACTGTGGCTTCAGTATTATGACTTTAGCACATTTTAAAAATCCCTCGACGGCGTTTCCAAAGCCACAGAGGTCAAGTTTCCCTCATTACTCCAACTCTGTGACTGTGTTTGGATCCAGAGAGACTCAGCAGACAGCGAAGTGATTAGAATGGTGTTTATCTGTTACGACATCAGCTTCATTTTACGGTTGATTCCATCTCCCGGTCTTTCTGTGTGGAGTTTGCATGTTCTTCTCGCGTCTGCTTCGGTTTCCCCCCTACCACTAAAACTGTGCGACAGTGGGACAACGAATGCTAATCAGCCCAATGCTACAATGAAGAGGTGTGTTCACGACCATGCACTGTCCCAACCAAAAAAACTGGTTGATTTTTCATAACGACGGAAAAAAGGTTGATAGATTTTTATAACGACGGCAAAAAGGTGTTGCTCTCTGAGACCCCTGCTTTAAAGTATTCAATGTTCTCTCTTCTTGATATCCAAAGCATAATATTCTGTAAGCCCTGCGCCCCCCACATTCCAGCAACATCTTCCAAAACCTCTGATTTTCCCCACACAACTTTTTTTCACACATTTCACACATTTGACCAATTTAATATCCGCCATCCTCAAAGGGAATCATGTTGGCCACAGCGCTTGTAAATAATTAAAACACAGAAAAAGGCCTGGAATATTTCTATTTCTATAGATAAATACATACAAGAGAAAAAGACTGAAGCAAGAAAGTACATCCACTACATCGGCGTTAATGAATGTAATTCACCAAACACTTTACGGAACTTCAGCTGCGGTTTGTTTTTGTGCCACAAGACAGAGCTGGGCAGGAACTGAATCCAGGACTAGCTTTTAACACATTTAACACTCATTAGCGTGGTGGCCCTTTTTAATGCCTTTGAACTGTTTTATTGTTTGATTGCATGATATTTTAATGTGATTTTACTCTAAAGAAGAATCTTGATTGATTTGATGGATGCTCGCCAGCCCCTTTCAAGTAGCTCGCCAAGGGACACATGATCCTGAATGAATACATTTTGAGCCATTACAAATCTATTATAGCATAAATATAGGGTTATACAGTATTATGGTGTATTTTACTTGTGTTTTTCATGTTTTGTTGTAATAATCAGATCGACTGCAAAAAAGTGTCGCTCTCTGCCCCTTCTTTTGTGTACAAGTATCTCTCTGATTGAAAAAGATTGGAGACCCCTGCTTTAAATAATTTAATGTTCTCTCCTTCATGTTCCGTCTTGTGTATCCAGGGCATAATATAAGCCCTGCGCCTCCCACATTCCAGCAACATCTTCCAAAACCTCTGATTTTCCCCACACAACTTTCACACTTTTGACCATTTTAATATCCACCATCCTCAAAGGGAAACATGTTGGCCACAGCGCTTCTAAATAATTAAAACACAAAAAAGGCCTGGAATATTTCTCTGACCCAGATGTGAGTGGTGCCAGAGGTTTGGAAAGTCTGCCCTGAATGTTCCTGCAGCAATTTTCCACAACAAAGACGGCCCCGTGGAACAACGTGACCACAATCGACGCACAGAGCAGCGCTTTGGAGAGCGATTACAGCCCTGGGGGGGCCCATGCAACAGCGAGCTCCTGCTGCTGCATTCACACAGGTCCACAGGACGCTGCTCATACCTGGACCTGGGTGGAACACAGAGAGAAGGGAGAGGGAGAAAGAGGCAGAGAGAGGGAGGCAGAGAGAGAGAGAGCAACCAGCGTCCCCCCAGATACTGTAACTACTGTTGTGAGATAGAGAGGGAGAAGAGCGAGAGAGAGAAGATGGACCGGTGAGATAGATAGAGAGGGAGATAGAGAGAGGGAGAGACCAGTGAGAGAGTGACCAGTGTCCCCCAAGAGAACTACTGTTGTGATTTATTGTGAGTACATTGAATTGAATGGAATAATCAGTTACATAAGTCATGATAACGTAGAACAACAGCCAAACTCACAACAACTCAGGAAACTGAGATTCCTGCTCCTTTAATACAGCGCCACCTACAGGTTGCAGCTCTTTACATTTTGCTAACCGGACTGTCTGTCAAACAGAACAGGATGTGAAGCCGTCCATAGTTTTACCATAAAGTGGAGCCAGAGGATTTGCAGAAGCTTCTCGCAATGAACAGGTTTCAAACAGACAGAAGCAGAGAGTTACTGTCTGTGGTCTGGAACAAAGTCCATAAACATAACCAGCTCCCAGCTGCTCCGAAGTGATAGTCTCTGACCACTGTGGCTTCAGTATTATGACTTTAGCACATTTTAAATATCCATCGACGGCGTTTCCAAAGCCACAGAGGTCGAGTTTCCCTCATTACTCCAACTCTGTGACTGTGTTTGGATCCAGAGAGACTCAGCAGACAGTGGAGTGATTAGAATGGTTTATTCTGTGTGGAGTTTGCATGTTCTTCTCGCGTCTGCTTCGGTTCCCCCCTTATTACTAAAACTGTGCGAATGTGGAACAACGAATGCTAATCAGCCCAATGCTACAATGAAGAGGTGTGTTCACTGCCATGCAAGGGAGGGAGAGGAGAGGGATGCAGAGGGGGGGAGAGGGATGCAGAGGAAGGGAGAGGGATGCAGAGGGAGGGAGGCAGAGAGAGGGAGAGGGAGGCAGAGAGAGGGAGGCAACAACAACAACTTTTTCTTGAATAGCCTATTGTCTAAAAATAGACTTGGACGTGTCTTGATTTGATAAAGAGAAATTAGAAGCAAGATTACAGAGTTTAACAGTATTTTAATTATCTTCACAATCAAATACAAAACTCAGAGCTCCTATCTAACTGGCTAACCCTATCTAATCCTGTGAGCTGAGCTTAAAGTAACTGTCCCTAAACTGTGGGAGAGGACAAACCAGGCGCTCTGCGAATGTCCCCTGTCTATCAATCCCTGCTCAGACTGACAACATTATTCACATAATGCATAATTAGAATGTGTAGAAGCGGGCGTGGCTTCATCAGGCGACGTCAGTCCAGACCAGGTCTCGGTCCTGGGTCCAAGCCCTGAACCTTGGTCTCAGTCTTTTTCGCCAAATCATCACTTTTCTGGAAAACACTTTGGAGAAACAGGAAGCATATGTTCCCTATTTTGTCTACTGTTGTCACTTTAACCTCTTAAAGGAATAGGCCACCGTTTTTACATACTGACACATGTTCTTACCTTACCTTAGACTAGTTGATATGTACCTGTCTGGTCTTTGTCCGTGTGCTCTGTCTTGCAAACGGAGCTCAAACGCAGCCTCTTCCACAGACTGTATAGTAACAAATCAGCTCCCGTTAGAAGCTACCAAACTCTTCCACGTGTTCCCTATTTAAATACAGTTACGTGACGTGTTACACTACCAAGTATAGTAACACAGAAATGTATATAATTTAAAGTTAAATGTGGGTAACTAACTGTTATCTGGTCAGTTTTTATACATCCTAAGTTTTTGAACTAAGTGATAAAGTTTAATGTTATATGAATGCTTGCTTTAAAAAGATATTAAATTGTTAAAATACAATGTCCGTAATTCTTCATCAGAAATGTATGCATCTTTCCAAGTAACATAGCAAAACCTATTTACACACATACAGCATATATAATTTAGAAATTACATTTAAATGCATTTTCCCGACGTTTTGGTGTGTACCGCAAAGAATTATGGGCAATATCCTTCACCAGAGTGCGCATAGATGCAGGCTACGGCGAAGTGTGGATCAGGGGCGCAAAGGGGGCGGGGCCAAAGACCTCCCTGGAGAATTGGGACACCCTACGCACTGCACCGATCATCGGGAACGCGCAAGGGTGGAAGTGCGAGTATTGGGACTGGGCCTAAATGTGAAGTGACCCCATGCGCAAAACGCAGCCGCTCACGGGAGATGTTGCAGACCCAAAATAGCTCCTAGCTCTTCATGGAAGGTGTCATTTTAAAGCTATGGAGCTAAGGAACACGTGGATACAAGATGTTTTGGGGAAAAACAAAGCTAAAAGTTCAATAAAAGTGAAAGAGCAGCCTCTGTGCTCTTCTTTTCTGTTTTTTTTGCTAAAGATAAATGCACATTTTTGGATTATTTCCCCAGAATGGATTATACTTTGGGAAATACAAGTGGATATTATTTTTAAAGGCACTGTTCCAGAGAGAAAGAGCCATAGGAAGCCGGGAGGAGAGCTGATTCATTTATGCCGCACAAGCCCAAAGGTGAAAAACTTTTTCTGAAGTGATTAATTTTGTGCCCACATTATGTGTTATATCTTTTGAATGCAAAGTCTGATGTAGTTTACACTTGTATATACATGTAGATACAAAAATACGCTTTAAAATGATATACAGCTTTTGGGGTTTGGTGTTCAGAATGCATCTGCTATTGCCGCGCCGGTGGGAGTAAAGAGGTTAAACTCTTGACATTTTAGTTTCTGTCTTGTGACAGTCCCCATGTCTGTGTCCAGCACAAAAACATATCAACGTAGTTGTTAGTACATAAAATCACTGATGATAAATGGTGATTATAGTATTGTATATTATGCAACAAGCCCCATATCACGACAGCAGTCATCTCAGAGACTTAACAAAACCATTGAAATCACCAACACAGATCAGAGAATCAACAGTTAAGACACAAATTCATGGACTAATGTCCATGAATGTTGATCAATGTCATACATGTTGTAGAATGTTAAAGTGTCCTGATCACCACAGTCCTTCTAGTTGAACACTAACTGTCCAACAGACCCTCCTGCATCCGCAAGGAAAACTCACGAAAACCCAGTGGGAAAAAAGTGAGAAACCTCAGGGAGATCCTCATTGAGAGAGGGATCTGCTCCACACGGACGGACGGGCTATAGATCCAGGACCTAAGCTACAGAACATGGACCAATGCCACGCAGCTGCCGCAGAGCGTGGACAGGTCCGGTGCAGGACTGAAGCGCTCCCAGGCGGGTCGGGCAGGGCAGTCCACAGATGAAGGTGAAGGAGGCCAGGTTCAGGGGTCCCATTGTTGCGCCATGAAACAGACAATGGGACAACGGGCGAATAGCAATGAACACACTACAGTCAAAATCTTAATAATGCAGATAGATAAAGTAGGAAGGAGGAGAGGATAGTGCTCAAGTTACCATACTTCTCCCAGCAAACTGACTCCCTATGCAGCTTGACTGACAGTCTGAGGAGTTTAGCCTTCCCTGAGTCTTACCTTCCTAGCCATATGCTAAACTAAAGAGGACAGCTTTAAACCTAGCCTTGAATATGGAGGCCGTGTCTCAATAATCAAGTCTAGGCTACAACACCAAAGATTCATGGATTACACACCAAGTGTGAATATCAATCCTATGTGTTTGTTGTTATTACATGTTCTGTGCTTCCTGTGTAGTTTGATTCTCTGATCTGCTGTTGGAGAATCCTTTGTGACGACTGCTGCTGTGATTCAGAATAGAATTGATTTGACTTTCTTTTCTGAGATACTCAACAACAAACATACTCTCAGTTGGAAGGCCCAAACATTTCAATACTTTTCCTTTTCAGTCTTCAGTCGTCTGCAGACATGTCCTTCACCTCCTCCTCAGTGTTCCTCCGCAGTGTTCCTCCTCAGTGTTCCTCCTCCTCAGTGTTGTGGGACACTTTATTCCACACAGACTGAGGCTCTGTGGGAGTCATGTGTTCAGTGTCAGATCGATGCAGGTTCAGTGGGTTCAGTGTGAGGCGTTAAAGGGAGGTAAAGGTGACGCTTCAGAACGATTACAGAGGCCGGAGTCATGTTTTTCTCTGCATTCAAACCATTCATGCTGCGATAACTCCCTGATGCACGTACGCCAATATCAGCTACAGAATCAGAATCCTTTTATTGCCATGTGAGTAACAGGAAGTCACAAACTAGGAAATTGCTTTGGCTCTCGGTGCAAACAAGCTAAAGCAGAATAAGATCAAGAAGGCATTGTAGTGTCTGCTATTATAACTTCTACATATACAGCATGTATCTCTAATGATCCGTTTCTCAGTCATGAGGCAGACATGTGAGCAGCACTAATGTTAGGACAATGTACATGGCTGTCCTTAATGCATGGTTTGCTTTTACTGGATCTTGTGACTGTGTCTTATGACTTCTTCAACTAAACTATAAGATCCTAGTCCGCTGTGTGTTAGGGGTCAGTCATGCCATCCTCATTCTCGGAGCTGACCCAGGCTGAAAGCGCTAAGCCTGAATTGGACTTGATGTATTCTGATTATGCCATTAAACTCTTTCTTTAACACATAACTCAGAGTGCATTCCTTCTCCAACACTATACTGGTTTGTGCGGGAAACCCCATCTTCTGCTGATGAGAAGATACAACAGCATAAATAAAAATCTACATTTTTTTTCTGTTTACTATATACAAGTGCACTAGGGGCACACAATAGACCCTTAATGCCTAGCGTACATCGGACTGGCAACTGATTATATCCGTCGCATATGAGTTGCTGCCCCGCACACATCGACAATCTGACGAAAACGGGAAACTCCTGTAGCAGACCAGTCTCGGGAATAACAGCGCGTACGTCGACAGCAATTGTCCTCAACTACAGTGTGTTTTCTGACATAAACTGTTGCGAGCTCGCAATACACGCAATACACACACGTTGTCGGAGCGGCGCATGGAGCGCGCACATTGTTTTATATCTCCGAAACTGAGG